GTGGTTTTTTTTTTTTTTTTTTTTTTTTTGAGTTAGGGAAATTAAGCTGCCACAGGACCGTTTCTGGTTGGTCCTTGGAAACTGGCGGTCACTGCTGGCGTGTTGTGATTAACTAGAAGTGGGCGTCATTGGTTACCATGGTTTTGGTCCGCTGACAGGTTGTCTTGGCCAATTTTGCTTATTCCTTGTGCGTTTGCACGAGCTTGCTTGTGCTTGTGTGTTACTGCCCTGCCTCAAAGGATGTAAGAAAAGGATTGTAGAATCTTCCCTCATGGCTAAGGAAGGCTAATGAGGCCAGGCATGGTCGGGGTGTCCCTGGGTGGAAGGCTAGAGAGGCCATTCGCTGTGTGAAGCTATGGAAGTGAAGCCTGGATTGCCTCAGAGACCCCAGGATGCTGGAGATGCCAGTCTCGCGATACCTGCCAAGGAGAACTGCTAACAAGGAGTGGCACCTGCCCAAGAGAAAGAAGCGTGCGGAGTCAACAGAGCTGAAATGAGTGGGAGATCTGAGGCATGCCTCGGTATCAGACCTGAGGATGCACAGGGTAGATTGACAGCTGGTTTTCAGCCTTGCTTTGGTCCAGTATCTCTCTCTATGACACCTTACCTCCCTTTTGGGATGGTAATGTCTACTCTTGGCCACTGTATGCTGGAAGGATGTGATCTTGTTTTTGACTTTACAGGGTATTGCAGTGAAGAGATTGCCTTGGGTCTCTGAAGAGACTTTGAACTTTCGATTTTTAAATCATGTTAAGACTGTGATAGATTACAAGGACTTTTGAAGTTGGACTAAATGCATTTTGCATTATATATGGCTTCAAGCCTATGGGGGTCAGAACGTAGTGGTTTGAGTGATTTATTATTCATTGTTTATTAGCCCATAGGCTAATAGATTTATTGCTTGGTCGCCAGGGAATGGCACCATTTGAAAGGATTAGGAAATATCGCCTTGATAGAGGAAGCATGGCACTACAGGTGGACTTTGAGGTTTTCCAAAGTCCAAGCAAAGCCCACTGTCTCACTTCCTGCTGCCTGTGACTCTGGATGTAGAACTCTCAACTTCTTCTCTAGCACCATGTCTGTCTACATGATGCCATGATTCCTGACCTGATGATAATAGACTAAGCCTCTGAAACTATACAAAATCCCCAATTAAATGCTTTCTTTTATAAAAGTTGCTGTGGTCACGGAGCCTCGTGTCAGCAATAGAATACTGGTACTAACATGGAACATGACTGACATGGGAAGAGACACTGCTAAGGAGGTAAATTAACTGTTTCTTTAAATCTATCTCTAGCCTACTCTGACTTTGCCGAAGATTGGCACAAATCTGTGGGTGTTTTTGGCTATGTCTGTTAGGCAATTACTGGCCCAAATGTAAGTGTGCTGGCAGACGTGGTTGTTAGCTGTGAGGGATTTGTGGTTAGAGAACGGGAGGGAGGCACTTTATTCTGTTCTGATAGAATAAGAAATATGGATTGGATCTCTGTCTTTGTTCCCTGAGCAACAAGAGCATACCCTGATATTCATAACAAGCCGCATTTGAGTTTATGCTAATGAGGTAGCCCTTAGTGGACCTCTAGTTAACCTCAGGAGGGGGGGGGGTTGGTTGCCCTAAAAGCTAGCCATTAGGAGGCTGAAACTTCAGCCTCACCCCAAATATCTACCAGAGAAAGCATGCTGGAGATTGAATTCAATTACCAATGGCTAATGATGTAATAAATCAGGCCTGTGCAACAGAAGCGAATGCCCGAAATGATAAGGCTGGAGCACTTCCAGATGGCAAGCATAAACCTGCACCAGGGGGCCGTGCCAGGGGCCGTGCGGAGGAGGGGGGAGCCGCGCACCAGCTCCGCTGCATCCTTTTAGATGTCACCTCTTCATTTGGTGCTTCATGTGTAGCTTTTAAGGCAAACCTATAAAAGCAAGCACTGTTTTCTGGAATACTGTAAACCATTCCAGAAAGTTATCATCAAACCTGCAGAGAGCGAAGAGTGTTCTGAGCGTCCTCCAATTTGTAGCCGAGTTGGACCAAAGCGTGGGGATTCTGAAATCCTGGATGTGGTGCCATCTGAAATGGGAGACATTGTGGCATTCACACCAAAGTCTGTGCGGTCTCACACTGTAATGGTTCATTTTGATTGCCCACGTGATGGTGTCAAAAATCACCCAGGAGATACAGCCCCGTTCATGAGAGAGCAGCCCCAGAGCGGCTTGAGTGATGAGGGACGATCCTCGGAATAGGTGAGGTTCCACCCCACACAGGCTAGGGCCTTGAGCTGAATAAAAAGGTGGGTCAAGGCACCAGCTTCCTTCCCCCTCTGCTCTGGACTCTTGCAATGTGACCAGAAACCTTAGCCTCTGCCCCCATGCCTTCCCCATGAAAGGGTACTGAAGCCCCTCAAACTGTGAACCAAAGCTGTAATCGGAGACTGCTTATTTGTTCCCAGCCTCCCAGCCCCGAAATAATCACACAGAAACTATATTATTTGCAATACTGTCTGGCCAATAGTTCCAGCATATTCCTAGCTAGCTCTTACATCTTAAATCAACCCATTTCTATTGATCTGTGTATCGCCACATGGCAGTGGCTTACCGAGTAAAGTTCCGGGGCATCTGTCTCCTCTGGCAGTTACATGACTTCTTCTGACTCCTCTTTCTGTTTAGATTTCCCACCTTGCCCTATCCTGCTAAGCCACTGACCAAAACATCTTTCTTTCTTTCTTTCTTTCTTTATTTATTTATTTATTTATTTATTTATAATTTTTTTCGCTTTATTTCATGTGCATTGGTATAATGATGTCAGATTCTCTGGAACTGGAGTTACAGACAGCTGCAAGCTGTCATGTGGGTGCTAGGAATTGAACCTGGGTCCTCTGGAAGAGCAGTCAGTGCTCTTAACCACTGAGCCATCTCTCCAGCCCCACATCTTTATTTATTAACCAATAAAAGCAACACATAGACAGAAGGACTTGCCACACCACAAAACAAACCCATTTTTCCTTCAGGTATTCAGCCAGACCAGGAAGAACAATAACTCCTATAATTGCTGTCATAGTTACAGTTATTATTGCTGTGATAAAACACCATGGCCAGAGCAACTTGGGGAGGAAAGGGTTTGTTCAGCTTATGCTTCCATGTCACAGTTCATCATCAAAGGAAGTTAGGACAGGAACTCAAGCAGGACAGGAACCTGGAGGCAGGAACTGATACAGAAGCCATGGAGGGGTGCTGTTTACTGACTTGCTCCTCATGATTTACTCAGCTTCCTTTCTTATAGAACCAGGACTGCCAACGCAGACGACACACCTGCCATGGGCTGGACCCTCCCCCATCAATCACTGATTAAGAAAATGCCCTACAGGGGCTGGAGAGATGGCTCAGAGGTTAAGAGCACTGCCTGCTCTTCCACAGGTCCTGAGTTCAATTCCCAGCAACCACATGGTGGCTCACAGCCATCTATAATGAGAACTGGCTTGTGGGCACACATGGAAGAAATGCTGTACACCTAATTAAATAAATAAATATTTAAAAAAAAAAAAAAGAAAAGCCCTACCGGCCAAGCGATGGTGGAGCACGCCTTTAATCCCAGCACTAGGGAGGCAGAGGCAGGCGGATCTCTGTGAGTTCGAGACCAGCCTGGTCTACAGAGCTAGTTCCAGGACAGGCTCCAAAGCCACAGAGAAACCCTGTCACGAAAAACCAAAAAAAAAAAAAAAAAAGCCCTACAGACCTGCCTACAAGTTCATCTTATAGAGGCTTTTTTGTTTTTGTTTTTGTTTTTATTGAGGCTCCCTCCTCTCAGATGACTTTAGCTTATATCTGGATAAAGCTTATATCCAGCTCTGAGGCTGTCTTTCAGAAATTAATACCAGAATAAAAGTGCATCATGGTCTTTGTCCAAATAGCTGGAAAATTTGTTGATGCTAGGAAATATCTCACTTCCCAATATATTTGGTGTTAAACACGCTGTGAACGGGAACAGCTCATTTGGAGTTGGAGGGATGGCCCAGCAGTTATGGGCAGCTGGTGTTCTTGCCATGGATCCTGGTTCAGTTTTTGTTCCCAACCACAGACTTTATTCACATATTACCAGTAGAGTGCAAATCTTGTCCTAACTGAAAGCTTCAGAGGCTAAACTCCCTTTCTTTGAAGAGATGAGCCTTGGCTCTGTCAGGGTTTTCCTGTGTGTTTTCAGAACTCGGGTTACTTCATCATCAAAGAACCATTGTGAGCACCTGCCCTGATGTGATGGTTTGGCTCGCAGCGCTCTTTCTGGGTTGTGTGAATAGGAACTTCTTTGGCAGCGTTGCTGTGCACACAGCTAGATGCGTGCAGTAAAGGAAAGACACACAAATGCAGGGGGGCTCTGCTCAGCCAGGCTGAAAAATCTGCTGTTTTCTCTTGAACTTTAACTTTCTTATTGGTTATCATAGGGGTTTATGTGCAAGCCTGACTGGGCTTGGATGTGCCCAGATAGCTAACCAACCATTGTCATGAGCTTATCTGTGTGGTTGTCTCTGCATGAAACTCATATTTGAATTGATAAACAAAGGAAAGCAGATGGCCTCCCCTAAGCTGACCAGTTATTAGCCAATCAACTAAGAGTTTTGAATAGGATAAAAATGTGGGTTTCACCTGGCTCCTGAACTGGGACACAGTCTTCTTTTACTCTTAAATTGGAGCTGCAACATGGGTTGTCTTGATGCCTCGGCTTATCAGCTGTAGATCTCGGAACTCTTTAGCTTCGACAATCATTTAAATTAAATCCCATCTATTTTAAATGTGTACGTGCACACACGTGTGAGTGTGTGCGTGTGCGTGCGTGCGCACGCGTGTGTGTGTGTGTGTGTGTGTGTGTGTGTGTGTGTGTGTTTTACCCGAGGTTGAGATCCCACCCATGAACCCTGAATGACAGACCCCTAGACAAGGCAGCAACAGGTGGGAGAGAGGTGATACTGGCTCCACGGAGTCTTAGTACCCAGTCTCCGATTCTGGCTTTTCTTTGGCTGACATAGCGTTCTTTGTTACCTCCTCAATCCCACTGCCCCACCGTACCTACCCTTGCTTTTGGTCTGGTTTTCATACGCTGTGACACAGGCAGGCTAAGGAGAGTAGTTCTGATTATCTTCTCGTTCCTAGGTCTCTTAGACGTTACTGTTTTTCTGTGTCCCGATGTCTCCAGACTACAGACACTCACATAGCTCTCCTAATCTAGGCAACTATATTGCTACCCCTCTTTAAATCGAGGAGTTCACCCTGAATGCTGTCAGGCCTGCTTCTTTATCTAGATAGAGGAAATGTGATATGGATTGGCAGATTGTAAATATGAGGGAAAAGTTCAGAGAGGATGTACAAGAGAGCCAATAAAGGCTCCATTTATTGGAGACTCTCTCTACCTCATATGACCTTTAGAAATCGTCTGGCTTCCTGATGTGTGAGGGTTAATATACTCATTAGAGGTTTCTTTGGATGATAGATCCAATACAGGTAGGCAAAGAGCAAGACGTTTTCATTAAAGTCACAGGGTGTCACAGCCACGTGGAGTCACATCAGTAAGAGCATATGGTCTTCTGGGTTCCCCTTCCTCATCGCCCCTAACTCAGGAGAACAAGATACAGAAAACTCAGATCTCCTCGGATGAGAGCGACGAGTCCCACAGGCCTCTTCTGTCCTCAACATAGCTTACAAAGGGAAAAAAGATAGGGAAACCTCTAGAGAATGCAAGGCTGGGGAGGACAAAGGAGAGAGGGAGACATTCAAATACATGTTCCTTTTGTGTAACCAGCTACCCCTAGACTGTATCAATTTGACCCAGACCTTTAAAAGAAAAGAAAAGATAATGCTTATGGTGTTCTCCACTCAAGCCTGCCCTTAATGAGAGGATTTAATAGTGGTCTTTAGTGAACGATATGACAGTACTATTATATTCTACCATTTTATTCCTTTATACGAGGGAGGGCACCCATTGAGTTTTTCGGATTGTCTGCCTCCACTTGCAGACACACGCTAACTGATTGTGAGTACAGTCTTCATGCCGATGACCCCTCGAAGCCTAGCCAAGAAGGACTCAGTTTAGACACTTCTATTAGATACTTCTATTAGCTTGATCTTCATGAACTAGCGGTACTTGCTGCCACACACCTATGACTTCATAAAATTTCGTAATATCAGCTGGTGACCCTTCAAAATCAACTCTTCCACCTCTGATGGCATTCTAATGGAAACAAGACTGCTTTCTGACCCTTATCACTGTCCCTCTCCAGTGCACAACCCAGCAGATGATAAGATTCATCGGGACAAATCTACACAGGTTTAGAAGGAGGAGGAGCTTTGGGCCCCTTCTGTCAACACCGGACGCAACACCAAGACTCCTGCCCAGCAAACATCTCCAGGTTCCAACCTCTCCTCTGACCCATTAGAAAATGCAACCGTTTGCTAACTTCTTCTGTTTTACATAGGGGCAAATGCCTTCTGTGGATCCATTCTATTGTTTGAGTTAAGTAAGAAGCTGGGTCTGCAGATGAGATTTGGCCCTTCCTTCCATGTCATAGCCAAGCATGCTTGTCTCAAATTTTCCACCAAAAGTCGCTGTCCTTGGTCAGACTGACACCTGCCCCCAACTCTGTGACAAGGGGAAGGAGACCAGCAAAGGCATTTGCCTTTGAAAAGTCCAAGGGGAAACCTATTTCCAATAGAGCTGGCTAATATTTTTGACATTATATAAAATGGCTTATAATTAAAACACTTATTGGAAAACTCATCCACCGTTAGAACTCTTGGCTAGAAATCTCTCCCGTAAGGATCTCCAGTGTCATCGTTTTTTAACAAGGCTTAAAATTTCCTTAGCTGATTTTTGCTGGATGTTGTAAACATCAGTTTACATTGATGTTTTGCTATCTGTCTGCAACTTTTTTTCTGATACTTGCACTTATTCAAAACTAAAAGCACAGCTATGGTAGATCATGCTATAGACTGCACAGAACACAGACACACACATATACACATTCACTTTTTTTTTTTTACTGTTTTGTTTTCTGTCAGGTTTCCCTGGAAACTTACAAAGCCTCATGGTGAAATTAAAATGGGAACTTTGAAGTGATCCTCTGAATTCAATTAATATAATTTGCAACCTTCTTATTTTCATCTCTAGTTTCATTAAGTTGAATCCCTTCTCTTTTTTGGTTAGCTTGGCTAAAGGTCTGTCAACTTTTTCTATTCAAAGAACCAACTCTGTCTCACTGCTTCTTTGTATCGTTTTTTTTTTTTACAGTCCCCTTTCATTGACTTTAGCCCTGATCTTCCTTCCTTTCCATCTATTAATTGCTGGTTGGGCTTGTGTCCTAGTTTGCGTTCTGTTGCTGGGCTAAAACACCAACCAAAAGCAAAGGGGGGGAGAACAGGGTTTATTTTATCTTGCACATTATAGTCCGTCATCAGGGGAAGCCAAGAAAAGAACTCAAAGCAGGAACCTGGAGGCAGAAACTGAAGCATAGACCACGGAAGCATGCTGCTTGCTGGTTTGCCTTCCTGGCTCCTGGCTTGCTCAGCTACCTTTCTCACACAACCCAGGCCCATCTGCCCGTCAACTGTACTACCCCCAAAAGGCGGGGCCCTCCCACATCTTTCCCGCAATCAAAAAAAAAAAAAAAGCCACCAAAGATTTGTTTGCAGGCCAGGCCAATCTAAAGGAGGCAGTTCCTCAAATGAGAGTTCCTCTTTCCAGGTAAGTTATTTATGTTATTTATTTCACACACACACACACACACACACACACACACACACACACACACACCACACAAGAAAGAATCTCACTATATAGTTCTGGTTGATCTGGAACTTCCCAAGTGCTGGAATCAAAAGCATGTGCCCTTATGTTTTTCTGCTTTTCTGGGCTTGTTTTATGTAGGAAATTATAGCTATGCACTTCCTCCCTCTTAGGACTGCCTTTATTGTATTGCACATATTCTGATAAATTATGTTTGTATCTTCACTTGATTGTTGCAGTTATTTTGTTTCCTCCCTGCTTTCTCCAGTGGCCCTGTTGACCGTCCACTAGTTTGTTTTACAGTCACCATGTGTTTGTTTAAGTCTCCGTGCTTCCTCTTACTGTTGACTTCCAGATTTACTCCACTATGATACTGGCGAGACAGGAGAGCTCATTGTCTAGTTTTATATTTCGTTAAGACTTGATTTGGGCCGGGCGGTGGTGGCACACGCCTTTAATCCCAGCACTCGGGAGGCAGAGGCAGGCGGATCTCTGTGAGTTCTAGGCCAGCCTGGTCTACAAGAGCTAGTGCCAGGACAGGCTCCAAAACCACAGAGAAACCCTGTCTCGAAAAACTNAAACAAAAAAAAAAAAAAAAAAAAAAAAAAAAAAAAAAAAAAAAAAAAAAAGACTTGATTTGGGGTCCAGAATGTGATCTATTGTGCAGAAAATTTCATGTGCTTCTGAGTAGAATGTGTATTCCACAACTGGATGGAACACTGTAGATATCTAGTAAGTCCCTTTGATGTAGAATGTGGTTTTGGTCAGAAGTTTCTTTGTTGATTTGTTTGGATGCCCAATCAATGAGAGTGGAAGATGGAAGCCCCTGAAACTGTATCAGAATGTATCTTCCCTTTATGTCCAGCAGTGCTTGCTTTATGACATCAAGTATACCAGCGTGCAGTGATATGTACTTCTAACCATTATGTAGTCCTGAAAACTTGTATTCATTTACCTATAGTAACTCTTTCCTCTTTTCCAGCTTTGGTTTGATGTCTACTCTGTCAGACATAAGAATGACTACTCCTGCCTACTTCTTGCTTTTGGTTATTCAGAGTTTTCCATCTTCCAATTATTATCCTTGCCCTTGAGGTGTGTCTCTACAAACATATATTCCCTGCTCTTTGTTCCTCTGGGGCAAATAAACCTCCTTTGTGCTGAGAACTTAGTGCTGGGGTGTCTTATGCCAACTCCAGGCCTTTCACTTGTCCTTGTTAGGCTGAATGCTGTCAGTTCTTTTCTTTGCCCTTTATTTGTCCTAAAGGTTTGCTTACTTACTGAGTTGCATGTGTACGCCCAGTTCTTTCCTACTTTTTATTATTACTTTCTCTTCCCAGGAGATGTATTCTTTCCTGAGATTTTGTGTTGTGACTATTGTCTTCCTCCTTTGTGTATACAATCTCTTCGGTGACAATGGCTTAAAGGTTGTAAATTACTTGTTTGTGCTTGACTTGGAAGATCTTCACTTTTCCACCTATCTTGTATTATTTGCCAAAGGGTCTGATGTAAGCCAGGTTGGCCTTGAACTCTATAAGTTGTTGAGAATGATACTTCTGATCTTTCTTCTTACACCTCCCAGGTGTTGGTATATTACAGGAGTGCACAAATCAACACCATTTTACTTCCTTTCTGGTTGAGTAGTAAGGCAGTTTTTTGTTACTGCTTCTCTCCAAATGGTAGTAGGTAGCATAGGTTTAAGGAAAGTCTACCCACTAAGAGTATCTATGGATATAAAATAGATAAATGAACAAAAAGAGCAGACAACTACATAGGACTTTGTGGTGCCGAGGATCAAACCCAGGGCCCTGTGTATGTTAAGTGAGCTCTATACCAACTGAGCTGCATCCAGACTTCTGACAATTTATAGACTATGTTTGCTGGATATAATAATCTGGGCTGGCAATTATTGACTTTCTGAGGTCAAATGTATAATTGTTTTTTTTTTTCAGATTTACAAGTTTCCTATTATAAAGCTATAAGATGGCTTTCAAGCTCAAAATAGAGGCAGGCTGGTTTATCATTATTTCATTATTCTTGGCTTCTATTGTTGAGTAATTGTGGGCTAAGTTATTTCCCATGTTTTTATGCATGCTCCTCTGCTGTGATCTGAGATTTCTTTGCCTGTCCTTTTTGTTGATTGCAAGTGCTGGCGCTTACTTACCAGGCCAAAGTTACCTGATATGGTCGTGAGGAATTAAACCAGGCTGATGGGAGGGGTCCCAGCAAGACTGAGGGCTGTGACGACTGTATTGAGAGCATTCAGACTCTTTATACCTTTATCAGAAATAGAATATAATGGCGGTTTTCAGGATCGATACAGTTGTGGTTGCCAGGACACAATGATGTTTGCAGACTTTACGGGGCACACAAGACTAATGTCTAAGTCCAATTGTCCTGTTGAGTGTCCCTGCTTCCTTGACTTGCAAAAGAACATATAGAGAAACCCAAAGAGGCCTGAATGTTTCACTGCCTGAAGGAGTCTTCCACTAACTGGAAGGCACATTGTGCCCCGGGAGCCATGAACGCTAGCCTGAAAAACCTATGATGTATACCTCTTAAGGCAGCCAGGCCAAGCCAACTTCATGATTCCCTGTGGTTTGTGTATCTATTACTGTAGGTACTCTTAGTAGGTAAGCTTCTGTTAAACCCATGATGCTGTTTTTGAGAGAAGCGATAACAAAACAATGTATTACCAACCAACCAGATTTACAAAGGGAGTAAAGGAATAGCACACATCTTTTATCCAGCACCCAGAAGACAGAGACAGGCAGATCTCTGTAAACGTGGGTAAGAGAATCCACAAGGGCCCAAGATAAAGGGGATTATCAAATATTTATTGAGGACCACTCACAAACAACAAGGTAGAGAGCCACCATGGTCCTCTGCTCTCTGGGCACTGGGAGGTGCAATCAAATCTCCAACCACCACCCACGAGAGTGAGCAAGCCCCTCCTCTCTCTTAAAAGCCATCCTGTCCACAGACAGAAGACCCTTCTCCTACGTCTGGTATCCCCAAAGCTATTGGCTAACTGAATTCCCACAACAGATCTCTGCAAGTTCAAGGCCAGCCTAGTCTACACAGTGAATTCCAGGCCAGCCAGAATTACATAGTAAGATCCTTACGGTGGCTCATAACCCATAGGGTGGTTCACAACCATCTGGAACTCTAGGGCATTCGATGCCCTCTTCTGACCTCCACTGGCAAGCTTGTGGTACACACACATGCATGCAGATAACACACACATTCTAAGTTCATGCAGACAACACACACAATCTAAAAAAATGTTCTTAACATGTACCTACTTCTAAAATAAATAAACCTGGAGATGGGAAGAGGACTCATCAGTTAAGAGCTCTGACTATTTTCCCGAAGTACTATTTCCCAGAACCCACATGGCAGCTCACAACTGTCTGTAACTCCACTTGCAAAGGACCTGACACCCATGGCAAAACAGCAATGCATATAAAAATAAAAATAAATAAGATTTTTTAAAAGCTGCAATAAAAAAAAAGGAGTTGCTGTGGTCATGGTGTCTCTTCACAGCCATAGAGACTAAGACACCACACCACTCCTATTGTTCAGCGGTATTCCTTCTAGAATTTTCCCTTCAGCCTCTGGGCCCATTTGAGCCTCTGCCAGGGTTTCGTTCCTTGTGGGCTTTACATTCTCACCTGGGTTTGTTGGGGAGAGGTGAATATTTAGCTGTGCTCATATTGTGTCCTTCGACACTGAGTCCTCTTTCTTGAGCCATGGAAGTGTCTCTGCCGTCAACTATAGAGCTCAGAAACACCTTTGCCTTTGAGATGGATACTAAGTTTCAAGTGAAGGAACTCTCTCACAAGGCAAGAATGTGTTTGGTATTCTGTATTTGTGCTCATCCTTCTCACAGGCTCAACTCCATCCTGGGAACGCTGGGTCCTCAGCTCTGAACATGATGTGGAATCTCAAAAGCTTTTCCAGTGCCCCGGATGTACACCAACCAGTTCTTTAAAAAAAAAAAAAAAAAAAAAAAAAAGTACCAACCTGGTACTTTTTAAACATCTCTGCACAATTCCAGTATGTGTCCAGGGTTAAAAAACACATGGACCCAGAGGACTTTTTTACCGGCTGTCTTCAGTCTCTCAAGCAGAATTTTCTTTTTTCTTTCCTTCCTTTCTTTCTTTATTTCTTCCTTTTTTCCCCCCCTGTTTTCTAAGAGAGTGGCTGTGTAGCCCTAGTTGTCCTGGAACTTGCTCTGTGGACCAGGATGGCCTTGAATTTAGAGATCTGCCTGCCTCTACTTCCTAAATGTTGGACTGAGATTAAGGGTATGCACTACCATGCCCAGCTTCAAGCAGAATTTTTAACCTGGGGCTCCTAGGATGAATTTTGTATGGGAGGGAGTCTGTAAATCCTTAGAATTATCTCAATCTCTACATTTTTCAAAAAGAGAGGGCTGAGACAGTCCCATATAGCCAAGACTGACCTTGAACTCACTATTGAGTCTCCGCGTTCCTCTTCTCCCAAGTGCTGGGATTACAGGTGTGCACCACCACTCCCGGTCTGATTCATGAGGAGATCTACAAAAAGAACAATAAAGAAAGAAACCCAATGCACCACGCCCTCTGGCACCCGGAAATCCATCTTCATACTTTTGTCGTGAGGTTTGGGTTTAAGCAAAGTACAGAAGATATGATCATTAAGCAGTCCTTGCCAAGATGAAGTCCAGCCCACCAGCAGCCTGTCATTATCGGGGCTCCAGGCAATCCTTAAAGGTGGGCTAACCAGCTGTCAGGTCTCTGTGAAATCTCTTCTTGGGACACACATCCTCCTCTACCTGGCAGGAGGCTTCTGCCATTTCCTTTTCTCAGAGTGAGATTCCCGGGGAAATTCCAGTTCCTGGTGAAGGGGGGGTGTTCTCAAAGCTAAACTGGGAGGTACAAATGCCTCTCATAGAAGAGCTTCACCCCTGCCAGAATTCTTGCAAAAAGGTTGTGAACGGCTCATGGGCCGTTACTCCCCTGACTTCCTTCCAGAAGCAATAATCTTAAATAAATGGTACAGTTAACAAAGAGGCTTGAGCACACGAACACAAAAAGAAAAACCTGATGGACCTGGGCCTGATTTTAAACAACCCCAGATCACCATGTCTCTGTAGAACTGGTAAGAACTGGATTTGGAACTGCCGTGACTACTTCCAGGCCTCTGTGTGTGTGTGTGTGTGTGTGTGTGTGTGTGTGTGTGTGTGTGTGTGTGTGTAGTGGGGCATGAATATCAGGGAGCAAAGCTCGTTTCTTCAAGGAAGACCAAGTTTCATTTCAGACTCAGACTTCCTCTCGGTCAATGACCACTCATCAAATGGGCGAGTTAATACAAGGGAGGGAGGGAGTCACCTGGCTTGATTTTGCATTGAAAAAAAAATTAAAGGATAATAAAGTGTTCGGTTCTTTGCACAAAATCTCAGTGGTGAGATAGGAGCAGGTAACTGTTACAATTTAGTGGCCGGGTACCTCGGCAGCTCTAGGCCAAGCTACGCTGCAAAGATCACACCATACAACAGCCACCTCTGAGAGCTTGAAAGAACTCCAGTGTCTACCTACAATTTGCTGTTTACATACAACAAAGCACTATACATACCTAAAACAAAATGAAATTCTTACCCAAACAACAGTGTAGCTTAGATTTTCACAGATCATTCCCAACCCCCTTCTGATCCCAAATAGAAGCTGAAATAACTAACTGTCATTTAAGCTGCTAGATAGTGCCATGCTGGGGAAAAATCAGTGACAGGAAGGTGACAGACACATGGGCTGGGAATTGATTTACTGAAGATCATGCCAATGGAAAAAGAAGGATTTAATCAAGGATGCTGCAGAAGGTGCAGCAGGCTCATTCCTGGAGAAGGGGCAGTGCCAGCAGGATACACAGTTGTTCAATGGTAGTCATTAGTCTTTCCCAGAGGGGACACCTGCAGGGCCCCAGTTGGGAGGGGCAGGAGGTGTCCTGGTCTGTGTGTCAGTGCTGGGAAGAGATACCATGAACACAGTAACTCTTATAAAAGGAAGTATTTCATTGGGGCTGGCTTACAGGCTCAGAGGTTTAGTTCATTATCAGCATGGTGAGAAGCATGGTGGCAAGCAGACAGACAACGCTGGTGCTGGGGTTGCTGAGAGTTCTACATCTGGATCCACAGGCATCAGGAAGAGAGAGAATCTAGGCCTGGCTTGGGCTTTGAAACCGCAAAGCCCACCCCTAGTGACACACTTCCTCCAACAAGGTCACACCTCCTAATCCTTTCAAATAGCACCAGTCCCTAGGTATTCAATTACAGGAGCCTAGAGGGGCCATTCTTATTCAAACCACCACGGTGAGGGCAGCTCATTATTTTAGTGAGGAATAACTTTTTCAGTATAGGTTGTCATTCCTTTGGGCTGGCTATCTGTGCAAAGGCAGGCATGGGTCATTCACAATCAATTGCTAATAAAGCTCCTAAGGGTGTCAGCTTGCTACTTCAAGGGTGGCATTTTCTACAGTGGTGTCAGGCTACCTTAATACAGGTTGCAATCAGAATTTGTTGAAGTGAATTCCTTCTGGTCCTGTCTAGAGGCAGCAAAGATCTTGCTCTGAGTCTAGCGTTCCCTGAGGCAAAGGCAGTTTTTTCATTCCAAGGTTAGTATACCTCTGCAGGACCATCCTCCCAAGAAACTAAAACAAATTAAAGAAAAATATTGACTTTTAGGAACTCTTTTAATTGGTTAAGTCTTGATCCCAGTGTATAAGCATTTGGCTCCAAAATAATATTGAACTGGAAGCCAGACAGTAGTAACACATTCCTTTAATCCCAACACTCAGGAGGCAGAGGCTGGTGGATCTCTATGAGTTCAAGGCCAGCCTGGTCTACAAAGTGAGTTCCAGGAGAGCCAGGGCTAAACAGTGAAATCCTGTCTGAAAAAAAAAACAAACAAAACAAAAATATTGAATTAGGTGGGGATGCCTCTGCCACACTTTCCAAGAGGGTGGAATAGGAGGAGGGCAGAGAGTGGACCAGGGCAGGAACCATGGTTTCTATCCTCCAACTTCTCACTCTCAGAGGACCAACAGGAAGACGAACCTCCTCTTCGTTTACTTCTTTAATTTCACTTAAGCTGAATCAAATTTTTCACATGAAAATGAAAGCAATAGTGTATGATGTTTATTTTCCATTTTTCCCATGTTTATTATTATTTATTTCTACTGAAGAATTTCTCAGCCTTTACTATTATTGAGAAAGGATACTATCTTAGGATGCCAGTATTCAGTACAATATTTTTGAACTAGAGGTGATGAGGAAGTTCTAGAATTTGGATATATAACATACATAATACTACTATACAGAGACAGTTTCAATGGCAACTTTTGTTATATGTTCTGATTTTTTTTTTAAACATGGCCTAGAACTGCCAGAGATCTGCCTGCCTCTCTACCTCCCAAGTGTTGAGATTAAAGGCATGTGTCGCCACACCTGGCTTACTTTTACAACTTTTTAAAGCAAGCCTAGAGAGATTCAGAATATAAGTCAATTGGTAGCATGCTTGCCTGGAATGCACACAGCCCAGGTTTCAATGTTGAGTACCACATTAATGAGGCTTGGCAGGACATGCCTTTAATTCCAGCACTCAGGAAGTGGAGGTAGGAGGACGAGGAGTTTAACGTTATCTTCAACTATATAGTGACGTTAAAGTCGGCATGGAATACAAGATATACCCTGTATCAAACAAAAAACAAAATGCTTCGACAATCCGTGATTCAGGGTGGACTGGGGAGGTCTCAGGTTCTGAAGGTCAGTATTAGGGATTAGAGAGGGATTTAGGGTTGGATTTTCCTTTGATGGTACCTGATTAAAAGCTGGTCTTTCCTTCCAGCTAACTTGACAGAAGTACAAGAACATGTTAACACGTTAGCTATGCAATGGCAGGTGGAAGACCTGAGGCACCAAGTCGGTGCTTGGGAGTAAGCTGGTGCTCTAGGCTAACTCTGGAGTCTATAAGAAAGAGTCCAAGAAATCTTTAATAAATAAATAAATTAATTAATTAAAAAAAAAAGAAAGAGTCCATTTACCTGAGATAACTCAGGACGTAGAGGACGTGCATACACATGACTCATTATATAATCAGTTGCCCTCCAAAGGGCGGCTAAATCTCCCTGCTCAGCCAGGTTCCAGAATCAGCTTGTGTTCCTTTGAACCTATTTACTAAATCCTGATAAGATTGTCCCATAGTTAAGCATTACCAACTTTGTGTTTCAAAGTACAAATATTTTACCGGCCTTTGAAAAGCATAAATATTACCTTTTGGCTAAGGTTGGTGTCTGAGAGTCTATGTTAGAGCAAATCTTGTGATGCTGAGATAATCACATATTTAATATGCCCTGTAGTTGAGTGTTAAATATCATGCATTGTTGAACGTGTCGTACGTTGAATGCTAGTTATAGATAGACATGCTGGTAGGATTTTGCCTTCTGAAGTCTTGCTGTGGAACAAGTAGAAGGGGAGCAACTTCTCCCAGTGGCCGCTCTCAGAAGTCACTCTGTTTCCCTGGACAGTGTTTTCTTTCCCTACAAAATGTTGTGACAGATAAGATACCCAACCTCTCTGTTCTTCTTTCTGTCCATGGGGTGGCCTTCAGGAGAGCAATTAACTTCTCTGAACAACAGGAGACTGAGAATTTAAAATTTGGTGTTCAAATAACATGAAAACTATTCAATTTTTATTTGAGTGTGTCTAGGACAAGGGGGATGCTGTAAATTATGTTTTTCCCCTTTCTTGTTTCCTGTGGTACTAGAGCTGTAACACAGAGCCTTGCATGTACTGGGCAAGAACACTATCACTGAGCTGTGTTTCTAGCCAGGACTTTTGAAACATCTCTACAGAAAATTGTTGTAGAATATTAGTTAGAGATGTGTTATATTTGTTCATGCTGTGGAACATTTGTTTAATGAGGAAAAGATGTGTTGTATTCTTTCCTGTGGCATTTATTTGACACTGTGAAGCTATGTTACTCAGCCTGCCTAAAATGCCTGATTGGTCTGATAAGAAGCTGAATGGCCAATAGCCAGGCAGGAGGAAGGATAGGCAGGGTTGACTGGCAGAAAGAATAAATAGGAGGAGAAATCTGGGAAGAGGGGGATGGAGGAGCGAGAAAAGAAAGGGCCAGTCACCCTGCCAGACTCAGAATAAGAAGGAAAGAAAAGATAAACAAGAATAGAGAAAGGTAAAAACCCAGAGGCAAAAGGTAGCTGGAGTAATTTAAGAAAAGGTGGCAAGAAACAAGCCAAATAGTAATAAGTCTCTGTCTTTATTCGGGAGTTCAGTGGTTGGCCCCCGAAAGAGAAAAGAATAAAAACAACAAACTACAGGAAATAGCCTGAGTCCCTAACCCCATCATCGTTTCTCTTGGATATTCAGCTCTCCCTGCCAGTTCAAAGAACAGCTACTGGCAGCCCACACTCCAGGTCTGGCTCACTTTTCTTTCTGACAGCCCCGTTGCTGGTTCCTTTGGTTCAGAGCTTCTACTAAGGGCCCTCAGTTGCTAATGGTTTAATA